CTGCCACACTCCTCATCCTGCTGGGGCGCTTCCGAGCAGCACCCCCAGCCCAGGTCCCATGCTGGGAGTGGCATAGCCATGTCCATGGGCACACAAGTGCCGGGGCTGAGGCCAGCCTCCCTCACCACCCAGATGTGCTGCCCCAGGGGGGCTTTCCTTGGTGCACGTTCGGGGCCCCTCATGTTTTTGGCACCTTGTGCCAGCACTCACTGAATCGTAGGAAGACCTTGTTCTTCTCCCGCTCCAGGGTGAGCTGGTCCACAGCCAGGAGGGCTTCAAACTCCCTCTTGGTTACATGGGCTAGGATGTTCTGGGCAGGGAGGAAGAAAGAGTTTGTGAGCATGTGGGCTCTTCTTCATCCCTCCCTTTGCTTCAGCATCATGATGAGCATCCAGGACCCTCCTCGGCTCCTCCTCAGTACCAGCCCCAGCCGGGGGCCCTGAGCACATGCCCCGGGCTCCCCTTCACCCCTGCTTTCTTTGGAACTGGGACAGGGCCCCCCCCGTTGGTGTCACCCTGCCCCAGTGACAACTCCAGCACGGCCCCGGTCCCTGCAGCACTCCCGGGGCTGCAGAGCTACCGGGGCCTCGCTCCTACCTGCACGTCCATGTTGAGGCGGTAGTTGAGGTCCCCAAACCAAAAGAGGTGGGTGAAACGCAAGGTGAGGTCAAAGGCACTGAGCCGCTTGTCGCCCAGCACGAGCGAGCGCAGGATATCGCTGTAGTTCTGGTTCCTCCTGCACCGCACAGGGGGATGGGAGCAGAGCAGGTGAGACAGCCCCACCGCCAGTCCTGCCCCCGGGGCCAGCCCCACCACCAGCCACCCCCAGTCCCTGGCCCGCTGGGCTCTGCATGGTTGGGGCAGCATGCACAGGATGGGGACGGGCACTAGCAGCCCTGAACCCAATGTCTGACATTCAGGGACTGAAACTTCTCTCCCTCCAAAGGGCTCTGGGTGCAAACCCAGCTCCCTTGCAGCTGCACTTGCAAGGAGTAAGCAGGAAACGTGGGAGGAGAAGCCATGTGTAAGTTTGCTATAACATAGAGGAAAGAAAAAGCTATGAGGAAGGATATCCTTTGTTACCGGCTGTTTTTTTGGCTTTGTGTTTTATTGCTGTTTCCTTTGTGGCCCATCAGGAACTTTCCGGGATGCCTAAGTGACCCATCTGAACAAGGACCTACCTGGACCATTAGGCATTGCTACACCCAGCCGACCCCAGGTGGGTTTGTCCCACCACCCTGTGGTGCGTCCCATCCTCCTGTGTCCCTCTGTCACCTGTGGGTCTTCTCACTCCCTGAGGCCAGGTGGCAGTTCACAAACCCGAAGGATGTCCCATTGAAAAGGAAGGAGATGCCCACAGCTCCCTTGTTACCTGTGGGGACACACGGGGAGCTGAGCAGCCGGAGGAGACAACACTCTCTTGCAGCATGGCAGAGATGGCACGTGGCAGTCCCTGCACCATGCCCCCAGGCTGCCACCCTGGCTCAGGGCATCCCTGACTGCAACAGCCCACCCTGCCCTATCCCACCAAGAGGACCCGCAGCCCCTTCCCGGCCCGCACCAAGGGTGTTGGCAATGCCTGTCTTCACACTGGATGTGTTCACGTGACTGATGCGCCGCTCGTGCTCTGGTTTCACCAGCACGACCATCTTGATACTCCAGAGGCACTGCAGGGCGACCTGCGGGAGATAGGGGTGAGCCAGCCTGCATGGCCCCTGGAGACGGGGGTGAGCTGGGGTGCCCAGCTCCTGCCCGTGCCCACCAGCTACCCACAATGAGCAGGACAGGGTGAAGAAGCAGAAAAGTGAAGAGGACATTGGGTTTAGGTGTGAGAACCCCAGCTCGATTACTGGTGGGTAATCAGCTTCCTGAAACTGTTTGTGGAAGTCTTCAGGCTTTTTATCAAGTGGGCATCCCCCTGGCAAAGGCGGAGAGGGCAGCTAAGACCCCAAGACGGATCTTCCTCAAGCTTTGGCCCAAGCCATTACCACTCGGTAGTCTATGGCCATCAGCGTCTTCAGAGATGCTCGTAGGAACTCCACCCACTCGCGATCACCCAAGGAGTTCTCCTGGGTGCCGATCACATAGATGTCATGGGGGATGCAGGCTGTGGTCTCGTCCTGAGTGCGCCCCAGGCCCCGTGATGTCAGCCAGGAGGCAAGGGACCGGGGCGGGGGGGGGCTGCCTGTGGGGAGAGGGGAGAAGGAATGGCAGTCACCAAGCGCCCAGGTAGGACGACAGCACCAGGCTGCCTCCAAGGCTGGTTCCCTGAGCCCCTCTCAGCCCCCAGGGGTGTGTCAAGGCCCCATGGGGGATGGAAAGCATCATGTCAACCACAAGGTCCACCCATGCAAAGCCCAGACCTGTGCTCAGATTTACTGCTCCTCTCTAAAACCCTCCAAGTATCCCAGCTCATCTATTTACTCAACACAACCACAAGGCAAGTGGATCATGATGGGACTGACAAACCCAGAGAAGGCCAAATCCGAGCCTTCTCCAGCCTCCTCGTCCCACCAAGGAGCAGCTCCAACCCTAGACATCCCAGGGCAGCTGCTGCAAGCCTCCCCTTCCAAAGCTGTCCCTGGAGGCACAACCAGCCATGAAGGCCTCCCTGCATGATGTGAGCATTTCCCGGCCCCTTACCCATGTTCCATGTCCCGACGTACACCGAGATGAGGTCAGGCTCATCCAGGTTGGAGTGCTGGATCTTCATGAGTTGGAGCAGCTGGCAAAAGGCCTCACGCTTCTGCAGGAGGAAACAGGTGTCCTCAGGGCCCCAGCAAAGGACCCAGGGCTTTGAGAAACATGGCACCGCAAGAGGTGTTGATGGCCAGGTCCGCAGGGCTGCAGCCAGGCTGCGGGCATGTTAACTTCCAGGCAGGGGAGCCTGGGACATGCAGAAAGTTATTAACCTCAGGACGTGGCAGGGTCCTCTTACCCGTGCACTTGGGAAGACAAAGTCTCTGCTCAGGCTCTTGTGCTGGTCCCGGTCGTACACCAGCCTCACCTTGCTCTGCACGCTCTGGTATTTAATCAGCTGCAAGACTGGATGCCCATGGGTGTGAGCGGAGCAACGGCAGGTCCCGCCGCCCGTCTGGCACCCCCAGCCTCGGCTGTGCAGGGCTGGGGGCACACACAGCCCACTCCCACTGTCCCCACAGTCTCCAGAGAGGATGGAGGCCATCACCTCGGCATCAGGCCTATCCCCAGAGTGGTGTCCCAGGGAGATCCCTTGCTGCCCTTGCAGAGGGAGCCCCTGGTCCTGCACTGTCCCCTGGGGACCAGCGGGGAGATGGTGGGTCCTTACTTTTGTCCTGAGGGATGATCTCTTCTGGAGTCCCACTGCCCTTCTTGGTGATGGCCACTGTGCCTGACTCCACGTCCACCGTGAGGACTGCTCGCTGCGACTTGCCCACCTTCACCTGCAGCACGGGGACATGCTCACAGGGGTCAGCGCCCACCCCGTGCTGGGAGGACTGGCTCCTGCCTCTGCAGTCTGCTCCATCTGCCCCCCATGGCTGCAGTTTGCCCCAGCCCGGCCTCACCTCGAAGCTCTGCACGGCCAGGGGCTTGGTGGCGGGCTGGGGGGCCGCGGCCACACTGGGCAGTGCCAGGTTGTGCTTGGACACCGTCTCCTGCAGCGACCTCAGCACCTGCGGAGAGAGATGGACGCAAAGCGGGGAGCTGGTGATGTGCTTGGGGGCGGGAGAGGGACCTTAACCCCTCTGATAGGGTCAGAAAATGACTTAGCATCCCAAATCCTGATTTCTGTCCCACTGCCCGATCCACACGCTCCCAGGTGCCCTGCAGTGCCCCTTGCCCACTCCGGCAATGAGGCCAGGCACCTTTTTCTCCAGGGAAGAGAGAAGATGGTTGACAGTGGATATCTTGCTGAGGAGCAACTCCAGGTCCGGATCACTGGTCAGGAGACCCTGGGGAGAGAGATGGACACTCGCTGGGAGGGCGGAGGCTTTCGCAGCGGCACAGTTGGCTCTGCCTGGTGGGTTTCTCCACGGCCGGTCCCACCACAGGGGCAGGACGTGCTGCAGCACGTGGGGTCCTGGGGCCAGGCAGGGAATTGGCTCCCCCTCCTGCGGCATCGTGGGCTGGACGCAGAAACGAATTCGCAGTCCTCCCGGGCCTCCTCCACCACCGACAGAGCACCGTGCCGGGACCCGCGTCCCTGCAGGCCGTGCACGCAG